AACAAGAAGCAAGCAGTACATATTCACAGCAAATTGGGCTCGGGATTGTCAAATGAAAATGTCTCTTCTTGGGAGAATGCTTCTAGCTTCCAGTCGGTTCCACACCAATTCATTGACCGGTTATTTGGATCTGATCCAGCAAGCTCTGTCAACTTTGCTGAGAGGAACGTATCTCCTGTCGGATCAGATAATTGGAATATAAGAAAGGGTATCGATGACCAGTTTGGAGAAGATTCGCCTGTTAGTTTGTCAGTATCTCATGCCATGGAAGATCCTGAAACATGTCTTAACTATGCTGGAATTAGAAAAGTTAAAGTCAATCAGGTCAGGGACAGTGACAATGGTATGCATGCTTCACGGGAACATGGTTCTAATAGGGGAAGTAACAGTAACCTGTCCACAAGTCAGGCATTTGATAGGGTAAATGAAACTGCTTTTTTATCAGTGGGGCAGGCCTATGATAAGGAGCATGGCAGTGTCACACTGATAGGACATCCCTACAACCACGGGGATGCCCATGTCAGACCAATAGATACCAACTATGGCAAGGGAGATGAAAATGCAATATCAGTGGGTGACAATTGCAGTAAAGGGAATGCTAATATGATATCTTTTGGTGGGTTTCCTGATGAACAAGATATTATCCCCATAGGCAGGCCTGTTGGCAACTATGATCAATTGTACCAACCGGATTCAGTTCAAACATTGGAAACTTCATGCGAGAAGGACTTGGATGCATCAAATGCCAGTGCGGTTGATAGTACTGCTTCTGTAGCTAAACCAAGACCGGAATCAGTTTCTAAGAATAAACCTGAGATCAAACCGTCAAGGAAACCAGCTCCAAACAGCTTCCCTTCAAATGTTAGAAGCTTGATTTCAACTGGCATGCTTGACGGGGTTCCTGTAAAATATGTTTCCTTGGCACGTGAGGTAAGCTCCATCTCTTCTTGTCCATTTTATTCAATTAGGATTTCTGTTTAATGACTTAGGGTTATATCCCTCCCCGTAACAAGGAGCTTCGCGGAATTATAAAAGGTGTTGGCTATCTATGTGGGTGTCAATCATGTAATTATGCTAAGGTAGGTCTCCTATCAATAAACTCCCAATCGTTTCTCTTCTCCCTTACATGTTATCTTGACACCTAATGCGGAAATAATTTGTTTTGTGGAAGGTTCTAAATGCATATGAGTTTGAGCGCCATGCTGGTTGCAAAACAAAACATCCAAACAATCACATATACTTTGAGAACGGGAAGACCATCTATCAGATAGTGCAAGAATTAAGGAGCACCCCTGAGAGCTTGTTATTTGATACACTTCAAACTGTATTTGGTGCTCCGATCAATCAGAAATCATTTCACAGCTGGAAAGGTAATAAAATTTGACTGATAGTTTTCTTCTTTCCCTGGTCTTTAAACATTTTCAAGCTTTAAATTGTCAGTCAAGTGAGCCTCTCTTTTCTTCTTACTTATTTAAATGTTTGTTCCTCAGAATCATTTCAAGCGGCAACTCGTGAACTTCAGCGTATTTATGGAAAGGAGGAACTGAACTTGTAGGAGTATATGTATAGGCTTTGCTTAGATTATAAGATTGGATAATGTTTTGATGCGCCGGGTATATTCACTTTGGTAAATTATGTATTTTCTATGGAAAATTGATGGAGGAATTGACACTTTTTTTGTTTATGTTGGGTATAGTAGTTTATGTAAATGTGAGTCTGCTTCAATTCCCCTTGTCTTTTGCTGGCACAAGGGAGACTAATAAACAACCGGTGTAAGTTGGCGCTATGCTTGTCCTTTATGGTGACTAGGCTTTGTTAGCTTCGATAAAAATCTCTCTGGCATTGGCTCCTTGACAAAAATCCTTCTCATCTGATTTTGTAGTTTAAGCTTTCTTAAACAGCTTAGTTATGTGTTGATCCATAATTTCGCAGGGGTCAATTTAGTGAGCCCTCTTTACTCATTTAACCCATTACATTCAGACCTTACACCTTTGAAGGTTAAAGAAACACCACCCTTTCCCTCACCCTCTCCCTCTACCCTCAGCGTTACTTCAGTAAATTTAGCTTAATTTATCATATTTTAGTTTAGTTTTAATTTTATTTAATGAAATTTCTTTAAAAAATAAGGAGTCTTTATGTCGTGTTACAGGACCTCGCCCCAGCCATCACATTTTCATTTCCATTCTATTATTAATATTAATTTAATTTGAGCTTGGGCCTGAGTTCATAGTTTCACCCGGGGCGAAACAGCATTTTCTTTGATTTTTTTTTAAAATAGAATAACTTATTCTATTATATAAAAAAAACAAAGAAAAAGACTTCACTACTTAAGCTGCGTCATATACTCATCACCAATCACAGGATTCGTCATGATGGGCTTTTGCTCATGGAGTTATATTTTTTTTATTAGAGATTACAATCTGGAACATAATGAGGATAATGCATTGGCAAGAAAGTTAGACCATAAAGAAGCTATTGCGTTCGGGAAGGATGAATCGCTCCCGAAAAGGAATCTTTTGATTCTCTCCCAATTGGTTGGACCGTAGGTGCGATGATTTACTTCACGGCCGAAGTCTCTGGTTCAAGTTCAGAATGGCCCAGCTATGCCAAGGAAAAGAATAGAAGCAACTACTACTGCTGAAACATGGAAGAATTGAAATCTTAGATCAAAATATTATGTATACCAGAAGAAGCAACTACTACTGAAACATGGAAGAATTGAAATCTTATATCAAAACATTATGTATGGATGGTATGAACTGCCTAAACAAGAATTCTTAAATATCGAACAACCAGAGCTATTACTCACTACATCAAATAAAATTTCATTAATGAAAGATCCATTGGAAAATAAAAAATACGCATGTCGGATGAATTAGTTATTGCTATCTGCTACATAATGATGACTCGTCGGTTTAACTTGAATTGATGCCGGTGATATCGAAACCTACTGCAGTGGTCATGGTCATTTAGCCCTGGAGTTGGAAACCAAGATTAGGGTAAGCAATTTCAGTGAGCACTGGGAATAATTGAAATCTAATGACTTTAGCGAAGCTCATGCAGAAGCAGCCTCTGTTTGAGGCAGAATCTCTATATTCCAAATTTCTAATCCCATGCTGAAGATTACGATCAGGGTGCAAAATGTTCCTGTGAAATAATAAGAGCTTGCACGGTCAAGAAGTGAAAAAGTGAGCGCCGATTTCCCCGAATCATGACTGGTCTTCCTCTACCATCAAAATATCAGAAGCATCATTTCCTTACCAAAATTTGGATATCGAATTATTATTAGTAGCCTTACAAATTGTACAAATTCGGCTGCATGGATTTATATTTCCACATATGAAGATCCAAATCTCAGATAATAAGCATCCATCTATCTTTAACACAAGCACAGTAAACAAAAATGTGTCTGCCACAGGTTACACGTCAATTCTTTACCACAAGAAAAATCTGAAACAATAAGAAACTACCTTTCACACACTAAGTTTCAAAAGAATGAGATGAAAGAAAAAAAAGGAAAAAAGAAAGAGAAGATTACAAGCACCATCATATTGTATTGTCATACAATTAGTTTTTTGTCTTTTCAAACATTGTGTAAGCCTCCAATGCCCCCCTTGATCACAATGTAATCAACTTAAGAACCACAGCAAGCTGATCTTTGTGCAGCTTGACCAGCCCCAGCTCCCTGATCTGGTTGGTTGATCTTGATCGTGGTAGGCTACAGCGACATTATCAAAACAAAGTCAGTCAAAACCTTAAGCAAGTGAACTTCAAATTAAAAATTGTAATTTATATCCTTCTAATACAAAATAAGTAAAGCTGTAACAAAAAATAAAAGAAAATAAGGAAAGCAATTAAAATACCTCAGCCCTAGTGTCAGTGTCTGCAAGCCGTTGCTTTATGTCTCTTGCTATTGAAAAGAAAACTTGCTCCACATTTAGATTCGTCTTTGCACTCTGCATTAGACAATATCTTTCAATACATATGAACACTTATTAACTATTTTCCACAATTCATAGGCATTACTTACAGTTTCAAAGAACTTGATGCCATATTCGTCAGCAAGTGCTTGGCCCTTGGACGTAGGCACAGCCTAAAAAGAGGGTAGTGATAAGATCAGGAATGGTACAAAGATTTGTTTCCAGAACTGAATAAAATCCAAGCAAAAATAGTTTGACCCCAAAAAGAATAGCCCCATTTACTATAAAAGAAATCTCTATGGTGAGCTGAGCTGTGATATCAACAAGCATCCAACATGCAAGATAAAACAAACTTGTCCAATAATAACTGAAAGCATTCTGAAGAAGAATTGGTGTCTTTTAATGATAAATTTCAAGAGCAAGCTCACCCGTTTGCTTTCGTCCATGTCAGCCTTGTTCCCTACGAGTATTTTGTTAACGTTATCCGATGCATGCTGTTCAATGTTGCGAATCCAATTCCTTATGTCTGAAAACATTGACAAGCCAGGTAAATGCAAACAATAGTAAAATCAAGAAATTAAAGAGCAGAAAAGAATTGACATTCAAGTAAACCGAGAG